GCACGTAGCAGGTAATAGAGATACGCACCGAACGGGGGCACGATCGAAGGCGAAGCGTGTACCGAGGGTTTGGAATATACATATTGGAAGGGACGTGAGCAGATTGGAGCGAACACTCTTAAAACCATTGTTGTCGTTGTTGTTGTTCTTGCCATTGTTCTTGTTGTGCTTGTTGTTATGTTGCAGGTGTTGTTGTTGTTGTTGTTGTTGTTGTTGTTGTTGTTGTTGTTGTTGTTGTTGTTGTTGTTGTTGTTGTTGTGGTTGTTCTTGGCCTTGAGTTCTCATTTATACAAAGAACAAGTATGGTTTAGCCCGTGGCTTGCATCCTGTTGTTTTACGCGGGAAAATGGGGTGTCATCAATCTGCGCCCGCCGCCCCCAGTTGACAACAAAAGTGGCTCCCGCTGGATGTTTCCTCACTGTGGCCTCCCAAATGGCGCTCTCGCGCGGGACTTCCTCACGACTTATAGAGGAATCGCGCGCTCGCGTCGGTTTCCCCTTTATTTGAGAAGGAGTCGCAATATCGCTCGAGTCCTTCTTGCGATTCGTGCAGGACGCACGCTTCATCAACCTGCCTGCCACTCGTCCCTTCGTTCCATCCGTCTTTTCTTCCCCTGCCTGAAAGGCTGCACGAAATACACGTTGCAGGTAAGACAGATACACCCATACGGGGGTACGATCGAAGACGAAGAGGGCCGGTGGCACGCTGGCAGGTAAGTGCGATTATTATTTTTGTTAACGTTGGCGTCATCGTCGTTGCTGCTGTTGTGGTTATTGTTGTTGCTGCTGATGTTTGTTTTTGTTGTTGTTGTTGTTGTCGTTTTTCTTGTTGTCAGTCAGTTAGTGTTGTTATTTTTTGGGCGGGCCCCGAACCCAATATACTTTCATGTCTCGACCTACTTCCTCCAACTGGCGGGAACCCTAGGCCTCCCAGATGGTGTCGGAGTAGATCGGGTCGGAGGATCGCGCTGCTTCGCCGATGCAGCGCCGATAAATCAGCGATGCATCGGCGATGTGGAGCCCGAGTTTCTCCGCGCTTGCGTCCGCGATACACAGCCGACGTCGCCGATGACTCGGCGATGCAGCGCGATTCTCCGATCCCGCTTGCTCGGACCCCATCTAGGAGGCTTCTACCGACCATCCCATCGTGGAGCTCCCCATCCCCTCCCCCCGCGTGCTCGCCAGATGTTTCAAGACGACGGACGCTTGGCCCCCCTATAACCCTAGACGTCGACCCCTTGACCTGTCCAGGGGTGAGTTCTGGCCATGATCTCGAGGAGAGTCCTGGTGTGACGACGAGAGCGCCTCACTTATGCCCCCCAATGCCAAGGACCTCCCCCCAAACCGAGGTCAGCAGCACCTCGGCGACGAGCTCTTCTGCAACCAGCAGCTCGGGGACGGGCACGTCTGCTACGTTCACCTCGATAACGAGCACGACGGCCACGACCGCTTCGACAACGACCGCGTCGGCGACGAGCACCTCGGCGTCCAGCGTCTCGTCGACGAGCAGGAGACCGATTGGAGCCTCTGCCTTTGTCGTTCACCTGGCTCTCCTCCTCCTCCTGTTGCGGAGAGGAGGAGGAGGAGAAGTAGGAGGAGGAGGAGGAGGAGGAGGAGGAGGAGTTGGAGTCGCAGGACGTAGTCCGAACAATGCTTTACACAGACCCCGTGTGGGATTTCAACGCTTACCGTTCTAAGTCAGCTTTACGGTCGGATGTAAGCCAAAGCCCCAACCAGATGCGCTTTACGTACTCCTTGCGAGCTGGGCTGGGTGAGGGCTCACACTCTACACCTGGCAACCGAGCCACTGCTTACCCCCATACATCCCACGCCTAGCACAGAACCACAGCCCCCCGAGTCCTGGCGCAGCCTCCAACAGTGGGTGGGGGTGGGTCCCCCCCCCCCCCCAGCGATGTGAACGGCGCCACCCCCCCCCTGGAAGTGCACGACACGACGGGAGGCACCCTGAGCCGCGAGGCGAAACACACGGAGTCCTACGCCAGTCCCAGGCGCGGGCGCCGAGCCCCAGCAACGACGGCACGGCGCTTGAGGACACAGACACAGCCTCGGCAGCAGGAGGTGGGGGAGAAGGAGGGGGGGTTCGGCCTCACGGGGAGTACTTCCCCCGCGCGCACGGCCTCCAGCGCCCCTCCCCGTTCGAGGGTGCCTGCCAGGCTGCTGGTCCTCGCCCAGCCCCTTCTCGGCCTCCGGCGCATCTAGATGTGACCGAAGGAGCTTCAGTCTCACCATGTTTAGCACACGCCCCTTTTCCAAGATAGCACTTCTGAGAGAACAAGTTGCGCGAGCATGTTTAGCACCTTCACCAGCACACTCGTCGGCACCAGCGCTGCCGTAAACCATCCAAGAAGCTTCTTGACGAACCGCAGCGACATCATTTGCTTCCAAGTGCGCATGCGTCCAAAGCGCTGTGGCGTCCTCTGGCCTTCTTCCATTCTGGATATCAGACCAACCCGTGCCAACGACTCTGCATGCTACCATGATGATTTCTCATACCTCCTGGGCCCACCACCCGTCGTGCACTATGAGGTTGTCGGTGACATAGGTGACGTTGGTGGAGAGCCGATGAGTAACCCATACCGTATATAATTCACGTCGAGGCACCGATTGAACATGACCCGGTCGGACTCTAGACAAGGTCTTCGTGACATGGAAGTCAGTCTCGTTGGCCAGGTGCACGATGCCCAAGCAAATCCGACGACTTATGGAATCTATCGCGTCGGGTCCACCGCTGGCATCGCCAAACAGAACAACTGGTTGGTGCCCGCACCCGGTTCCCAACACTCCCTTTGAAACATCACCACATTCTGAACCAGTCTGAAACCACATCTCTTCGTCTGGAGGCTATACTGGCTATACAACTGCTATGAAGTCCCTAGGCATGGCACCACGCAGCCAGAAGCAAGGACCTGCTCCGTGCTGCGCCATGGCCTGTGGGCATCAGTCGCCAGTCTTGGTCTACATGATTTTCCCTTTATCGTGAACGCAGTCCCATGTGCGATGCAATGGCTACTCCAGATGTCGTGATAAAAGGGAGGGGGTCTGGACACTCCAAGACAAGCCATTTCAGACCTCCCCCGTGGGAGAACCCTCCAAAACATCGTCCCCAGACCCCCCAGGCCCTCCAAGATAGCCTGGAAGAGACCCCCCCCCCCCGAAATGAGACCCCCCTCCCTTTATTACGAAATCTGGAGTAGGGATAAACAGTCCACGACATTGCGAAGTCCTGCTCCACAGGAATGCTAGGCAGCCTTCTCCCATAGAAGTTGGTCAGCACATGCAGTAAACAGTTGTAGGCGTTGCACAAACAAAAACCGTGTCGTTCAAAGCTGCGCAGTATCGGAATACCCTACTTCAGGAAGCTGCCACTCCGTGCCATCACCCATGATCCACTCCACTGGGTCGTGGGGAAGCATCCGCTTTCCAAACATTAATTCAACGACTGCCGACATGGGCCCTCGGACCAATCTGGACCTATGCTCTGGAGTTGGGAGGGGGTCCTGCTGTGGGAGGGGAGGGGGGAGGGGGGGGGGTTCGAGCAGGGGGGGTGATTTTCGGAGGAGGGGGGTGAACCCTGGGTTCCGGAGGAAGAGGGTGGGGAATTTTCCACAGCAAGTCGGCGGTTGATCACGCTCTCTCAGTGCTGCGGATCCTTTTTCTGACACTCATGTACCCGCGCTCTACCATTTTGCATGATGGCAGGAAGGAACGGATTGTGCATGATGGGAGGGCTCCGTTCCGTATGTTCACATGTACCTTCTCACTTCCCATTGTCATCGTCATCACCAAGAGCATCACCGCCGTCAGCATCATCATCATCAAAATCATCATCATCATCATCGTCATCATCAGCATCATCAGCATCATCATCATCATCATCATCATCACCATCATCATCATCATCATCGGCATCATCATCATCGGCATCATCATCATCATCATCATCATCATCATTGTCACCATCATCATCGACATCATCATAGTCGTCATCCACATCACCATTATCGACATTCGCATCATCATCATCAGCATCATTATCAGAATCATCAGCATCATCATGATCATCAGCAGCATCATTATCACAATCATCAGCACCATCAATATAATCAGCATCCTCCTCCTCATCCTCTTCATCATCACCAGCATCATCATCATCACCATCATCAGCATTATCATCATCATCATCATCACCATCCGACCCTTTGTTGTGCAATGCAACCTTGCGACGCCGAGCGCGACTTGCACGCTTGCGGAGTCATACGTGGAGCTGCGTCACCACGCGGTCGTTTGCGTCCGTTGTGGGGGAGGGGAGCAGGAGGAGGGAGGCAGGACGAGGACGTGGAGGAGGAGGAGGAGTTCGAGGACGAGGACCAGGAGGAGGAGGAGGAGGAGGAGGAGGAGGAGGAGGGGGAGGAGGAGGAGGAGGAGGAGGAGGTGGAGGAGGAGGAGGAGGAGGAGGGGGAAGAGGGGAATACGGAGGGGCAGGACTTCGGGCCCGCGTTTGCCAGTCGCCATCCTCATCCGCCATCCTCCATCCCCTTCCCCTCCGCCCCGTCTCGGCCCCCCCCCCGTCAGCACCCACGGCTCCTTAGCGGGCGTCTTGACGTTGACCCCCTCATGCGGATGTCCTGTCCTGTCTCTCCCCTTCTCCGAGTCTTTCTCCCCCCCTTAGACGTGTTGCTCCCGCCCAGGATCCTGACCCCCAGAGGTCCCCAGGGGTCCCCAGAGGTCCCCCCCCCAGAGCCCCGAGAAGGGCCGAAAGCGTCCACTCACCGTCCGAAGGCGTTCGAAACCCTTTCCCGATCCTCGAGGAGGGCCGATGGGGCAAAACTCAGCAGAACTACTCGGCCCCCCCCCCCGTTCAGACCTCTGCTCCGGCCCTCCCTCGCCGCGGCGTGCGGGGGGCCCGCGGGGCCTCCCGCTCCCCGGCCCGCCGCGGCGGCGGAGGACGCGCCGCCGCCCCCCCCGCCGCGCCCGCGCCGCAGCAGGCCGAGGGGGGGGGGGCCGCCGCGCCTGCCGCGCGAGCGGGATGAGCGCCGTGTACCTGGAGCACCGCGACGCCCACCACGTGCCAGGCGGCCTGCTCCCAGGGAGGAGGGTTCGTCGCGGCGGCGGTGGTGATCGCGGTGGTGAGTGCGGGGGGGGGGACGGTGATGGTTGCGGTGGTGATGGCGGTGGCGATGCTGCTGCTGATGCTGATGCTGCTGAAGCTGCTGATGGCGATGCTGGTACTTGAATGGTGGTGGCGGTGATGCTGATGCAGAGGCGGATGACGCCGATGCGGATGCTGATGGTGACGGTGGTGATGATGATGAAGGGGGTGATGAGGTTGCTGACGATGCTGACGGCTATGTTGATGATGAGTCGGAACGAGAGGTACCCGCTCACGCGAGCCCGTTTCAAGTCTCATACATGTTGGCTGCTTAGGGGCAGGCAAACGTCGTCGCGTCTCCTCTTTCTGGGGGGGGGGGCGGGAGGCGCCAGGGCCTGGCCGGAAGGGGCCGCGCGGCCTCGTGGGGGTCCAGGGAGGGGGAGGGCCCGTTTGGACCAGCCAGCAGAGGGGGGGTCTTCTCGATCTGAACAAAGCGAACGATCTTCGCCTGCGACAGGCTTTTGGTGCCCACTGACTGTTCAATTGGCCACAATTCGCTCTGGTTGACGCAAGTGGGGGTCCAGCTACAAGGGGTGGTGCAATAGATCTGGTGCAACAGAATTGTGGGCTGCAACATATTCGGGGCGTGCAATATTTTCCGGGGCGCAAATGTATTGCTGTTTTTTGCGTACGCTGTTTTAGTTGCAACGCAATGCAATCCATTTCTCTGGCGCAATACATATGCGAATCAATTGCCCGAAATCTATTGCACCACCTCCTTTCAGCTGGACGCTGTTTTGGGTAAACCAAATTCGCGCTGCGCCGTGCCGAACCCAGACCAGCCCCTCATTCCTATCCGCATACTTGGTTTTATGGGCATGAGAATGCTTATGATGCCGGTACCGATGGTGATGGTGACTATGATGATCGTGGTTCTGATTTTGTTGAAGAGGATATGCTGAAGATGGTGGTGATGATGACGATGCTGACGACGACGATGTGTATGCAGGGATGATGGCGATGATGCTGATGATAATGATGCTGTTTCTGATGATGATGATGATGATGATGATGATGATGATGATGGTGATCACCGTGATGATGATGACGAAGTTGATTATGGTAATGATGATGATCATGATGGTGATGCTGGTGATGATGATGACGATGATCATGAGGACAGTGATGATATGCTGATGCTGATGATGGTGGTTGTGGTAATTATGATGGTGATGCTGAGGTTGATGATGGTGATGAGGTTGATGATGGTGATGATGCTGCAGATGATCGTGATGGAAATGACCATGATGCTGAATGTGATGGTGATGCTGACTTAGATGGCGATGCTGATTGATCATGCTGGTGATGGTTATTGGTGATGGTGATGGTGCTGACGACGATGACGATGATGATGATAATGATGATGATGATCATGAATAAGAATATGGTTATGGTGATGATGATGTTGATGCTGCTGGTGATGATGCTGATGGTGATGGTGATGGGGTGATGGGGATGGTGATTGTAATGATGATGATGATGACGATTGTGATGTGATTATAATGATGATGCTGATGCTGATGCGGATGATCTTATTATGGTGCTGATGGTGAAGAAGTTTTGATTTTGTTGATGATGATATCGATACTGTCTCTTATTGAGATGGTTCGTATGATTGTGGTCGTTGCGGTGTTCATTGTGATGATGGCGATAGCAGTTAGATTGATGAAGGTGACGATGACGATGGAACTGAAGATATTGCTGATGGTAAGGTCGATGCTGAGGGTGATGGTGATTAAACTGGTGATGATGGTGATCATGATGATCATGATGATGACGGTGCTGATGCTGATGCTGATGCTGCTGCTGATGATGATGCTACTGAAGATGATGCTGCTGGTGTTGTTGATGTTGATGCTGTTTATGTTGCTGTTGATGTTGATGATGCTGATGCTGATGCTGATTATGATGATGCTGATGGAGGTGATCGTGATGGTGATGCTGCTGGTGTTGATGATGGTGATGATGACGATCATGATGACGATGCTGTTGATGATGGTGATAATGCCCATGCTGTTGATGATGGTGCTTGTGCTGATTATGAGCATGTTGGCGATGAGGAGGAGAATGATGAGGATGATAACTGGACTCAGGAGGAGGACGAGTATACTGATGATATTATGACGAAAATGATAAACGATGCTGCTGATGATGAGGATGATGATGACGATGATGATGATGATGAGGAGGAGGAGGAGGAGGAGGAAGAGGAGGAGGAGGAGGAGCAATAAGAGGACGAGGATGGTGGAGTAGAATAAGGCGGTTGTATGGAGGCAGGGAGGGAGACAAGCAGGCTTTGAAGGGGGAGAAAGGGAGGAGGAAGAGGAGGAAGAGGAGGAGGAAGAGTAGGGTGGAGGAGAAAGGAGGAGTAGTGGGTGGAAGGGAGGGGAGATGAGGAGGTGGAGGGAGGGTATGGGAGGGCAGTGGTGAGGGAGGCAGGGAGGCAGGCGAAGTGGGGCTGACGATATACGGCGCTTTGGGGTGTGTGGCCGCCCGCCGCACTTGCGCGGAGCGCCGCAGCGCATAGACAAGAGCGCTCCAGGGCCCCTCCCTCCCCGTGTGCCCTTCGAGGGCTTTCTGGGGGCGAGGCTCCGGGTACAGCCAAAACCAGCGTCAAGGAGTAGGCATGGAGGCATGGCTGGAGCCCTTTCATCCTGCTCGGGTCGCGTCGAAGAGAGGGCGAGGACCAGTGTGTGTGTGGATATGATGGCCAGGGCAGTGTCTTCCAAATTACATGGCTCCTTATTAGTTTTTCTGCACGTCTCCCTGACCCCCCCTCGTCTGAGCACATGCCTCGGGGCAGGGTGCGCTAACGCCTCTCTTCCGGAGGGACAGGCGGAGCAAAAGAGGGAGGATAAGGAGGAGGAGGACGAGGAGCAGGAGGAGGAGGAGGAGGAGGAGGAGGAGGAGGAGGAGGCGGAGGCGGAACACGAGGAGGAGCAGGAGGAGGAGGAGGCGGAGGAGGAGGAGGCGGAGCACGAGGAGGAGGAGCGGGGAGGAGGAGCGAGGAGGGCGAGTGGCGGCGCTCGAGAGGCCTTCCCCCCTGGCCGACAGGCGCGCGCACCCCGGCCGAGGTGATCACGGGCGCTGCCGCGCGCTCCCGCGGCCGAGGGCGGGCGGGGGGGCGGGGCGCGGCGGCACCTCCCCTCGCTGTGAACAAACCTCCTCCTCCTCTCTCTCCTCCTCCTCCTCCCCTCCTCCTCCTCCCCCCTCCTCCTCCCTCCTCCTCCTCCTCTCCTCCCCTCTCCTCCTCCTCCTCCTCCTCCTCCTCCTCCTCCTCCTCCTCCCTCCGAAAGGTTTTTCGCTCTTGTCGGCCTTCGGGGGGGGGGCCATACCGGGCCTTGGGGCTGGCAAACAACGACTCAGGATTAACAACTGGACCCGGGGAAGGGGTCCATCAGACCTCTCGGCACCGACGATGTCAAAAACACGGTTGCAGCACGGCAGAGGCAATCCGCATGGGCGTTCGCAGTAGTTGGGGAGGCGGGAAGGCAGGGCGGCCGCGGAGGAAGCAGAGAGGTGGGAGGCCATCAACGGGTGAAATAATTTCACGGCTCGAGTCGGCCACACGCAAGAATGAATTTTCGTTGGAGTGCTTTTTGGTGCGGGCACGCTTGGGTCCCCCCGGTGGCTGAACGCGATGCGATAGCAGCGGCCTGCGCGCTTGGGTTTGGCCCCCTCGCGCCCCCCAACGCCGCGCACCAAGGGTTACGCTTGCCCAGGGCCACTCTTACGTGCAGCCGAACGAGGGGAAGCTCGGATCGGCGACTGCAGTTTGGTGTGGTTGTGCCGGGGGTGTGGCTTGCGAGCCGCGTCGTCGGGGCTCTGGGGAGGGGGCAGCACCGAGTGGCCCTCGTCGGGCCTCCTCGGGGCGCGGCGGGGATCTCTGTCGTGGTCCTCCTCCCCCTCCTCCTCCTCCTCCTCCTCCTCCTCCTCCTCCTCCTCCTCCTCCTCCTCCTCCTCCTCCTCCTCCTGGCTCAAGTCCTGAGCACACCGCGGGAGGTGCAGGACTTTCGCACTGCCATCCAGGGAAGGCCCTGGGAGTTCGGGCTCAAGCCAGCGCTTTTGCCCAGTGCCAGCCTGGTCCGCCCCAGGCAGCGGCACAGCTACGTCCCGCACTCGTGCCACCAGCTGGGCCCAATTCCTGCGCGTGCTGCTGCACAAGGGAGACAGGCGACGTCGACGACCCAGAGGAAGTATGTCGTCTGCTCGAAGCGCGGCTGTAAAGGGTGGGCTTGGTGCTCTGCTAATGCTCGCCATTGCATCCAGTGCGGCAATCGTTTCAAGCAGCGTTCGAACTCAGTTTCGCATGCAGATCGCCCAGCAGGGGGAGGTGGAGGAGCTCTGGATGTTCGGCCTGACGTTCACGAGCCACCGCCCAAGCCAGGCCGCTGGAGACATGGCTCCCGCGGGCCCGAGCCCCCCCCCTGGCCTGGGCCGCGGAGGAGGTCGCAAGGTCACCTTCGCGGAGGATGACACCCACAGTGAAGATCCAGTGGCCCTGGCCCAAGCGCAGGTCACTTTCTGGAAGAAGTGGAAACCAGACGGAGAGGAGCACAAGACGGCGCTTGGCAAGCTCAAGTTTGCCAAGGCGCAGGCCCTGTCCGCCAAGAGCCTGGAGCAGCAGGCGCAGTCGCTGTCAGATCACTTCCAGGTCGCGCGCCAGAAGCTCATGGCCCAGAAGAAGGAAGCGACGGAGCTTGTTCACACCATCGTCGAGGCGAGTGAACACCACGGCAAGCTGGTCGCGGAGATCGAGACCAACACCAAAGAAGTGCAGTCATTGGAGTCTCAGCTCAACCTGGCCACCCAGGCGGCAGCGTACGAGGCATCCAAAGATGAGGATTTACTCACCACTCTCCAAGGCATGCTGGCAGCGCGCATGCCTGAGGGTGGGGAGGCCCCACCAGAACTACGAGCTAAAGTATCGGAGCTGGCGCAGCTGTTTGACAACATGCAGCACCAGCCCACCATGTTTATGGAGTCCCAGGCGAAGTGTGTTAGCAAGGGCAAGGGGTCCCAGCCAGTACAGGAGCCTGACGGCTTCCCCGCAGTTGGTGAACGTGCAGATGAGCCAGAAGAGCCCGGGCTCATTCCAGGTCAGCATGTCCCGACGCCGGTGGACGATAAGGAGCTGGAGGAAGCCCCGCTCGCCGACGCCGTCGAAGCGGCCCCGATGGACGAGTCGCAGGGCCGCGTTTGTGCTGCTGCGGCTCTGGGGAAGGTCGCCATAGGCATGGCCAAGATCCAGGGCGACGACGGCCCCGAGGCCAAGAAGGCTAAGGCGGCTGCAGCGGCCGCCGTGGCCGCGAGTGACGGCCCGTCGCCAGGGTAACCAGAAGTATAAGCTATTCACCATCAACGGATCGTGATGGCCTGCCGTTCGCAAGTTTTGCAATCTCCGCAGGCAGCGCAGTCACGATCGTTTGTGCCCAGGAGTGTAAGTTAGCCGAAGGCGATAGCATTGTGCGTCAGATACAATGGTGCGCGTCCCAAGGGTGGCTGGCCTGCATAACTCCTGCTGCTGCGCACCCCAACAATGGGCTGGTTTCGTGAGTCGCGATTTTGATTCGGGACGGTTTGGACCTTGGGGTCCAGCCTCTGCTGATTCCCTCGGGGTGTGAGCCCGCTCGTTTGTCCGGGGTGATCCTTGAGCTCCCAGGGATCCCACACTTCGCTTTGTCTTCTACGTATTTCCAAGCTGCTGCAGGTCTCTCTGAGACCAATTTAAACCTCTTGGCCACCATAGGCCAACTTCAAGATGACTTAGCGCATCCAGTTTTGGTCGCGGGGGATTTCAATTTGGCCCCCACCAGGTTGTTCCAGGCCGAGTTTCTGTCCAGGTCCACTATGGCAGTGCTTGCGCCCCCGACAGCCACCGACAGAACCAAGAATACCAAGTCGACTCTCGACTATTTTGTCTCCAGCCAAGGCCTCGCGCCTTGGCTCCAGAACCCCCGTGCCCTGGCCTCCTACCCTCTCCCCCCTCATCGGCCCGTGCTGTTGGATATTGTTGTCCAGGGTAACTTTCATATCCCCTCGCTGCATGGGCCCCAGAAGCTGCCCGCTCACATCCCAGTGGGCCCGCGAGTGCCAGAAGTGAGTTGGCACCAGACTGCCGCGATCGTGGAATATGCCTCGCAATTGAGCGATGATGCTCAACGGCCTCTCACCGATCAGCAGTCGGCGTCGATCCTGGACCACGTGCACTTCACCCTGGCCCAGGACTTCGAAGCTGCAATCAGTAGAAGGACCAACGCGCCTATTAAACCCAGTAAGTTCCCCAGGGCTCATCCCCCTCAGGTTCTCATGGTCCCCGCGGAGGCCAAAGCGGCTCGTGGCAGAGCCAAATTGGTGGCCTATACGGGCCCGTTAAGATGGTTGTGTAATCGAGTTCAGGATTTTAGACGCTGTATTCAGGACTGGAATTTGCTCGAGTTTCAAGGCGCCCTGGACAGCCTGGGGGATTGCCCCGAGTTGTTTTCCACCGCGGTGTCCCTCAAGGAGGGGCTTCAGGATATTCGAGTAGCCGCAGGTTTGCTTCTTGTTGATTTCCAGGCCGGCGTTCTGGATCAGACGCTGGCGCTGCAAGTTCTAGACGAGCTGCTAGAGCAGGTCGCCAAGCTCCTGCACCAGGAGCAGGCGGCGGATAATGCCGCAGATGGGAGGGCTTGGAGGGAGTGGGTCCGGTCTAACATGAAAGGGGGATTGGGTTGGGCTCACAGATGGTCTAAACGGCTGGAGGCCTGGCGAGATCCCCCGAGATGCACAGGCAAGTCTCAGTGCACAGGCAGGCCCCAGCATATATTGCAGGTCGACGCTGATCGTCTAGCTAAGATATGGCAAGTATCCCCCGAGACCCCACCTCAGCTCGTTCCTGATGTCGATGATCGTGTCGCCCTGGGTCCGATTACCCCCGAGAGGCTTCGGCAAGTTGCGCGTAGCTTTCCTCGCGCCACAGCTTCGACCTGGGATGGTTTTCATCCGCGGCACTTCAGTATGTTGAATAGTGAGCAGGCGGAGATCGTCTGCCAATTTATCGCTCTGCGCGAGAAGGTTGGTCACATGCCGACTCAGCTCCAGGGGATTGTCTCAACTCTCAAGATGAAGCTGAAACAACATGATACTCCAGCCATTCAGCCCTCGTTCAGGTCTATGGGCATGCTACCAGCGCTCTATCGTGTTTGGGCTCGCCTTAGGAGGTCGGCGGCCAGAGAGTGGGAAGCCCACCATCGTCGGCCTTATCTTGCTCACCAGGCTGGCCGCTCCATTGCTGAATTGGTTTACAAACAATCCTTGGAATGCGAGTTCAACAGCTCAGCCAAAGATCAGCAATACAGTTCCCAGGTCCTTTACGATCTATCTAACTATTATGAACATGTTGACCGGCCTTGCCTAGCGCATCGTGCTGTTGAGTCAGGTTTTCCATGTTGTTTACTTCGCATCATTCTATCCCAGTATGCCAGCGAACGTATCGTTTCCTTGCAAGATTGCGCGGTCAGCGTCGGTAAGCCTTGGAGGGGTATTGCTGCTGGCTGCAGTTGGGCCACGTACCTAGTGCAGATGTATGTGCCCGGCCCCTTGGACATATGGACACAGGCCCATCGTCACATTAGGCTCGCGATGTTCATTGATGATCTGCTGCTCCAGTGCCACGGCTGCAGTTTCAGCCTCATCGTTAGCCAGTTGAACAGAGCCGCCAGATCGGTGGCGGATTGCATCATCCACGAGTTTAAGTGCCAGATTGCCAGCAAGAAGACCCAGGTGCTAGCGTCTCACCAAGCCTTGCAGGACCAGCTCAGGACTAAGCTAGGGCCTCTGGCAGGCCCGAACCCAGATCGTTCGGGATCCAACCAGGGCGTTGAAACCGGGGCGGGCCGGCCGCCCCCAGAGAAGATGGAGAAAGTTCCGAAAACTTACGGAGCGTCTTGATAAGATGCGTGAAAGACTTCACAGGGTCCGCATGCTGAAATGTGCTGGGGGTAACACTCACAAGCTGTATAAGACTGGCCTTGACGTGGCCGCCACTTTTGGAGTTGAGGTCACTGGCGTCAACGGCACTCAACTTGAATCAGCTAGGTCGCAGTTTCTGGCTGCCGCGGGCCCGAGATGCTCGACCCGCAGCCGCAGCTTGGCGTTGCTCATCTTCCAGGACCCCTTGTGGAAAGCTGCCCTCGGTCCCGCCATTCTGTGGCATCGTTTAGTGTGGGATGCGTCCACCCGCCCGAACTTGGCCGTGGCTAGTCTCCAGCAGCTGCGGGCTTGGGCTGAAGCCATCCTCCCGAGAGTTTCTATATCGTGGGGTTCCTCCAGGGGCCCCCTCAGTGCGGCGGTGCTTTCGCTGAAACGTATTGGTTGGAAGTTCCAGGGGCCGTTTACCTTTGTGATTGCCTCAGGTCTTGAGTACCCTCTCCCAGGGCAATCCCCCGCCTTCCTCCAAAAGCTCATGGAGCACGACTGGCACGGCCAGCTCGCCTCCAAGGCGGCCGTCAAGCTCGGCCACGCGGACGCTCAGTTAGATGTTGTTGCTGCTCGGATTGCTCTCTCGTCAGACCTCCCTGGACATCAGAAAGGCACCCTACTCGCCTTCCTCACCCAAAGTATCTGGACCATGGGGAGAGCCAAAGCAGCAGGATATGATGTTCCAGTCGGCTGCGAGTGCGGCCATCATTCGGATAACCTCTGCAACAGATTATTGCGCTGCCCGACGACAGAAGAACTCAGAGCCACTCACTTCTCGGATGCGGAGCCTCTGCGTTTAAGAGAGCCCCTTCCCCAGGCCCCTCTTTCGCGTTTTGGGTTCCACCTGGTCCCTGAGTTCCGTGGAGAGCCTCCTCCAGGATCTGGTTTGGAGTTTGGGGAGTTTTGGTGTGCTCAAGAAGGTATCACCCCGCAAGAGGCCTTCAGCGAGGGGGAAGTGTATATAGATGGCAGTTGCACCAATCACGGGCACTATGTGCTCAATGCTGCTGGTTTCGCTGTTGTTTGTATCAGAAACGGTGAAGTATTTGCCCATTTCAGTGGCCGGGTCGGCCAGATGTTTTCACAGACGTCTGGGGCCGCGGAGCATTTGGCTGCAGTCGCGGCCAGTCTCATGTCTATGGATATCGAAGTGATTTACTCTGACTACAAGGGAGTATTGTTGCTGCATCAAGGCACCGAGTACCCCCGTCGCAATCTTTGAACTGGGTTTAAGGTCTTGGCTGGCAGAGGGCTCTTTCCTTTAGGGCCGAGGCTCCAAAAGGTCAAAGCCCACCAATATATACAAGCCCTACCCGTAGGTAGCGATGTCCGCCGCTTGGCGGAAGGTAGTGATGCTGCGGGCCGTCTGGCGAAGGCCGCAGCGCACAAGGGCGTTCAGCCCAGCGAAGATGAGAAGTGCAATTTCGCTGAAGATAGGAAGTTCGTAACTAAGTATCTCAAGTATGTGGCTCAGGCTCTGGGAGAGTGGCCCGCGATTGCCCCCAGAAAAAACAAAGCCCTGGCCGCCCCAGAGAAGAGTCTTTCTCCCCCCACGGGTGCTGCCTTTGCCCTGACGTCGTGGTCGCCGTCGTCGTCGGTCGAGCCTCCTCCTCCTCCTCCTCCTCCGCCTGTGCCTCACGAGGTCCCTCGTGAGCCCAGAGTGCCTTGGAGGTTGCACACGTGGGCGCTAATTTCGCAGCATTATCGGTGCATTCTGTGTAGGGTGCAGACGAAGTCAATCAAACAGAGAGAGCAGTTCTTGCGGCCACGGAATGTCCTGGCCACTGCAAGCAGCTGTCAGACCTCGTGCATGATGATAAGGGCCATGATTTGTTTTATTATGAGCACCTTGATCCTCCCACGAGTATTCTGGTTTGCCACAAGTGTGGATCCTACTCTGAGGGGTTGGGTCGAGGGTTCACTGGAGGCTGCGGCACTCGAGTGAGCCACCAAGGCGCGGCTACTCAACTTGCCCGTGTCCAGGAGGGTCGTGATCCCAGGGGCTCAAAGTCGTCCCCGATCATATATAAGACCCCCGCTATCCCCCTGGCCAGATTGGTTCGCGAAGAGCAAGCCAAGGTCAGCGGAGAGGAGGCACCAAGTCCTCCATAGTCGGCCGTGCTCTCCCACGGCGGACATCGAACACCCCATCAGCTGTGTGCGTGTCCTCCTCCTCCTCCTCCTCCTCCTCCTCCTCCTCCTCCTCCTCCTCCGGGTCGCAGACCACACCCTCTGCAGACCACAGCTCTTCGGCGAGTCGCGGAGCGCTGCCGCCGCGAGGTGAAGGGTCGGAGGAGGGCCCCGCGGGGGAAGCTCGGAGAAGGGCTGGTCGAGGCCTCGGCGGCCCCTCCGTCCGGCACGGTCGAAGCGGGTTTGCAAAGAATGGGTACTAATGGGTTTTTTTTCCACCCACCACCACCACGAGTTGGAGGGGGAGGGGGTCCTCCTCCTCCTCCTCCTCCTCCTCCTCCTCCTCCTCCGCCTCCTCCGCCTCCTCCTCCTCCTCCTCGTCCTCCTCCTCCTCCACCTCCTTCCCTCCTCCAACTTGTGGTGGTGGTGGTGGAAATCAGGTACGAATACTAACAGCAGTGCCTGTCCATTCTGGCCAGGGTTCGCTGTCGGTGTCGCCGTGGGCGTCGAAGGAGGAGGAGGAGGAGGAGGACCCCCTCTCTCTTGAACTTATGGTGATGGTGGTGGTGGTGGAAAATAATTTCACTATTCCCCGGTTTATGGATTTGGCGCTTACGTGTTAGATTAACAGATTTGCACTCGCTGTGCACGCCCTGCCCAGCACGGACCTCTCCGAAGGCCGCCGTTGCGCGGGCGTGCACGGGCTGCCCGCGCCCGCTCCTCATCCCAGAGAGCCCCTTCTCCCGACGGTGATGGCGACAACGACGACGGCGAGAATGTTGGCGGCGATGAGGATCGTGGCTTTGAGGAGGATAAGGAAGATGGGAGCGAGGAGGACGAGGAGGAGGAGGAGGACGAGGAGGAGGAGGAGGATCAGGAGGAGAACCGGGAGGAGAGGGGGTGGTAGAAGGCGGAGAGCGAGAAGACGGAGACCGCTGATGGTTGAGGAAGAGGAGGAAGGGAGGAGACGGATGAAAGCAAGGAGGAGATGGAGGAGGAGGAGGCGGAGGAGAGGGAGGAGGACGAGGAGGTGGAGCGATCGCACCCGTCCCGCCGGGACCTGTGGACGGCCGCGGTTGAGCAGGCTGCGCAGGCGCTGGCGTCTTGCGACGCGGTGCTGATCACGGCGGGCGCAGGCATGGGCGTGGACAGCGGCATGCCCGATTTCCGCGGCTCCACGGGCCTCTGGAAAGACAGATCGTTGGCCCTCACCTACGAGGAGATGAGCGACGACAGGTGGTTCTCAGAGGACCCCCTGTTCGCGTGGGGGGTGAACTACACCCAGATGATGATGTACAGGAACACCCGGCCACACGCAGGGTACGATGTCCTGCTGCGGTGGGCGGAGTGGCTGCAGAAGCCCTACATGGTTTTCACGTCCAACATCGACTCCCACTTCGAGAAGGCTGGGTTCCCCGAGGACAAGGTGGTCGCGTGCCACGGGGACATGCACCACCTGCAGTGCGTCGATCGCCAGTGCCGCTCAGGGGAGCCCAGCGGCGATGGCGACGTGTGGAGCGCAGACTGCATCCCAGACGGGCTGGACGAGGAGGTAGACAAAGATGCGCTTCGCTTCCGCAGCGAGTCGGCGTTGGACCTGCCAGCGTTCCACTGCCCGCGGTGCGGCAAGCTTTCTCGGCCCAACGTGTGGTTCTGCCATGACAGGAACTACCAGGCGCGGAAGTCCGCATCGGCGAGGAGGGACGCGTTCAACGATTGGCTGGCGTCCCTGGCGGAGACCAAGAAGAAACTGGTCGTTGTCGAGTGTGGCGGCGGCATGGCGATCCCGACCGTGCGCGTGGAGTCAGAGGACGCCGTGGAGAACTCTGGCCCAGGATCCTTGCTCTTGCGCCTCAATCCGACCGACTGTAAGGTCCCCGCTGAACGCGGTCCCAGGGGCATGCCAAATCACCCAGCTACGGTAGATTCATGCATCCCCAATGGGTCCTCTTGCTCCCTTGGTGCCGTCCCCTCCACTCCCCTCCCCTCGTCTGGTTCCCCTTCCCTGTCGTCCAGACGTCGTAGGTTTTTGTTCGAGTCGCACGCCCCTAAGCCTCTCGACACCAGTCCCAGGACTAGCATTATGTTGGGTTGCCAGAGTTTGTGTCCCAGTCCCTCCTCACAGGGGGCGACCGCTGAGTTTCGGATGTTCCTCGTCACTGTCCTTCTCCACATCGTCGCCGTCGTCCTCGTCGTCCTGCTCCGTCTCAGCCTCTTTCCTCCTTCCTGCTGTTCCTCCTCTCCCTTCTCTTCTCGCTTGAGTCCGTCTTCCTCCCTTATCATGTTTATCTTCCTCGTCAGCATCTGCATTCCATGGTCATGGTCCAGGTTGTGCCCAGAAGAAAGTTCTTGATCCCGGGTCGGTTGTTGGCAGGCCCAGTTCTTGATCCCGGCGAGCACATGTTCATACACATATCTTTTAGTTCTATGTTTGTATACATACATATATATATATATATGTATGTAGAGATAGTTGTACCATAAGAGAAATATGTGAACACGAATAATGGTAGTAGTTTTCCTAAAAGTATTTTTGATATTATTCGTAATGATCGTGCTCATGCTAGTCATCATGAGCTTTCCTTTCGGATGCCCGCGCGGACGTCTCGGGTCGGCGCCTGACCTCTTTTTCCTTGCCGTCGCCAGGGCGGTTATCGCCGATCCCAGAAGTCCGCGCGGGCCTCCGAAAAGTATATGTTCACGCAGTGCTTTCTTCTTCTCCTTTTCCTCCAGGGCCTGTTCCTTCAGGAGGGAGAGAAGCACACAGACACAATTTAATCCTCGATTCCACAGAAAATATGGGAAATGATGGGAAGTGGAGGGGAAGACGAAAAACCAAGAAGATCTGAGAAAATATGGGCAATCCTTTTCAATTGTTGTGTTTTTGTGTGTATGTGTGTGTGTGTGTGTGTGTGTTTGTGTGTGTGTGTGTGTCTCCCAGGGCCCCTTCATTCCCTTCCTGCTGGGTCCCATCCCCGGTGTTGATTCACGCCTGGCCCGCGCGGCCCAGGCGTCGGCATCCCCTTGGGCGGCCGCGAAGGCTCGGCGATGGGGTCGGCAGCAGGTTGGGAGCTGGGGGGAGGTCGGGAGCAACGCGCGGGCACGACGGGCGGGGAAGAGGGAGGTGAAGGGGAAACGAGAACGAGCAGTGAGGACGAGGCAAGAGGAAGGAGGGGCGCATGATCGGTGACAGCAGGTATATGGGCATCCCCTCCCCTTCTCTCCGTGCCGCACCCGCGAGGCGCATGAGCACAGGAGCTTGGGCTGGGCACTTCCGTCCATTCCCTTGTCCCCCTGGTTCCCTTTCCCCTCTCCTCCCCCGTATCTTTGACCGCGTGTGTTTCTTGAGTTCACTTTAGGCGCTTCAAGGTCTGCCCGTTTGGATTTTCGGGTTCGCTGTGGTGCGTGCGGCGCGCAAGAGGGAGGACGTTCACGGCGCATGACGGGGGTTCGGGAGGGAAAGCACGAAGGGTGGAGCGATCGGATGAGAAGCGGGGTTGTGATTTTTGCATTGAGGCGGGGGCGTTCGTTCAGGAAGGTGCCCAAGAGGCTTCAGACCCTGGAGGGCTCCTTATGTGATGAAGGCGGCGATGATGTCCATGGCCAGGCCTCACTTGGAGTTCCACTGGCTTCCTGGCCCTGGATGCTCTTCCCACCAATTCCATGCCCAAGGCCTTCGCGGCAGCGGGTGGACGACACACCCACCAGGGGCCACCGACCAAGCTCCCCCCTCTCGTTCGTCAGAGGTTTTCTGAGCTCGGCAGTTGCACGTCGCCCACGCAGTATGCAGGAGCACGGCGGTGGGGGACGGCTCAATTAGCAGCTAGACATTTGCAGGAGGTTCCCCGTGTGAACTCTCACCCCTTGCTTGATCTAGCGGGAGTGCAGGCCTTCGAGGAGCAGGAGGATCATGCCGGAGAGTCGGGAGAAGGAGGATGAGGACGACGACGACGACCATGGAGGAGGAGGGAGTATGGAAGAGGTGGCGTAGGACCAGAGTGAGTTGAGGATGCACCAGGACAGGCATCAACGCTTCAAGGTACCAGTTGTTCCAAGATCCCTCCTCGCAAAGTCATGACAGTATTCCTGCTCACTACGAGAAGCGCCCCCTTGAAAGATGAGCCGCCGCATGGGCATGCCATTCTGGCGAGAGCTTCGTTTGGAACAGAAGCTGCCCTGCACCTGTTCAGCTATGACTGTGTATGAACATACAGTTCAATGGAATCTTCTAGGGGAGCCCCGTTTTGAACACAGGGTCCACCGCTCATCTGTTTCACTGTTGTGCAACGTTACAATTATTTTTCCCGTGAGTGGAAACTCATGCGGTAACCCAATGTTGAAACAGGAACAATAATCCTTCCAACCATCGGTTTCGCTTTCATTGTCCAGCGACGTCTTACGCGGGAGCCCCATTTTGGCAAGGAACCGCCATACATTCTTGTATATTCCGTTCGATTTACAACAAATGTGTGCGGCGCTACAGCGATAGCCACATTGGGAACATGCGTCACTCTACATGTGTTTGTTGCTTTTGGAAGCTTCCAAGACCAATGTGCGTGTGGCACGCAGGTGGGAGCTGTATGTTGGAAACGATGCGTCCTCCATTTTCGTCACTGTCTGAAGTTTTTTAGACGAGTGCGCATGGCGCTGTGAGGCGAGAGCCACGTAAACCATTCGCTTCACAACGTTGAACGGCTGGGAGCTTCACATGCGAACGTGCGCGGCGCTCAGTCGAGAACCACGTTTCGAAAAAGGCGCGCCTTCCATCCTCTTAGTTGTTGGAGTTTTCAAGCTTCATGGTCGTAAGGTGTGAGGGAGTCTCAGGTGAAAAACCTGACCCGCCCTAGGTACCGGCACGTCTGGAGGCCCGACGAGGATGGGGTCCTTTTTTGCAAGAACGAGAGACGCAGGGTGAAGGGCGTCGCGAGGAGGGAAGAGGAGGAATAGGGTTCGAGGGGGGGCGGGAGAGTTGGGAGAAGGAGAGAGTGTGGGGCGAGGAATTTTTCATTTTCTGTCGTCGGAAGCATCTGGGTCCAAATCTGGGTACCCACGGGGCCCAGGAGGCCACTGGAGACAATCGCCGACCACGAGGCACGACGACGAGGGCAACGGACGACGAACAACGTACCACGGACGAGAGCTATGGGAGCGACGACGACGACTGTCGACGACGACGACGTCCGACGGACGACGGATGATGGTCGTTAACGGCGACGGTGGCCGACGGACGACGGACGACGGACGATGAGGACGACGGCCGACGCCGACGACGACGCCGACGACGACCACGACCACGACGACGGTGACGACGACGACGACGACGACGACGACGAGGAAACCGCCGCCGCCGCCGACGACGACGACCACGACGAACGACGATGGACGGCAACGACGACTACGGAGGACGGGACCCGCGATGGCCCCTGATTCTCGAGAAAAGCCCCCTCAGGTTCGCAGAGGTCTGCCGAGGCCTCGAAGGGCTCAAGAGTGGCTGAGATTGTTCGAAGCCGTCGGAACTCGATCCTCGCATCTTGAACCTCGACGACCTGCCGCATTCGGTAACCTAGATCCTCGCTCCGCACATTGTCCAAGACACCGCTGAGCTCGCTTCCAAGTTGAAGGATGTCAGACCAAGTAAATCATGGCATTTCGCGAACGCGGACGACACATGCTAGTTTTCTGGTGTGGCACGTTCGACGAAATCAGTGCCGACGTATAGGCTCTGTGGGACGATGGAGATCCCATTGAGACCGTTCTCCCTCGTGCCATCCGCTTCTTGCTGGAGCAGCATCACGTGCAAGACCCATGGGATGGCAACGACGCACAGCTTAGGCCACTTGCGAAGTAAGAGGAATCGGATTTTCACATGTTGGGGACCCGGCGAACTGCGCGCTGTTTGCGATGATGGAGCTGTGCCCCGTGGTGCCGAGCTGCGGGCGCCATCCCGGGATAGAGGGGTACACTCTAGGCGATGCTTAAGAAAGCTTAAGTTTTCGACCAGAGTCTCGATTATTCTTAATGTTTCAATGTGAACCCTAACATTTTAATAGAAATGTGGGGTTTTGTTATCCAAGTTCTGAGACTATGAGTTTCTTAACCCATGATTTCTTAAGCATTTCGCAGGGTGTACTGTCGGCTCCGGGACGGCATCCTCATGATCTGTAGTGTGCTGGCGTCCACGGTGCAGCTGCATCTCAGCGAACTGCAGCGGCGCACAGGCCTCGAAGCACCCACCAGCACACAGGGATGGTGGGAGATGCAGCTCCTGGGAATCACGTTCATTCCTGGAGCCCTCTTCCCTCGCCGCGCCCCTCTCCCCCTTCAGCTCGCAGCCAGTGTCCAAAGGCCCTGCGCGGCCGGGAGCGCTCGCAGCTAGAGATCGGAGTTTGTGCAGAAATGCAGAACTACACCGACTTGCTATTCGAGAAATTCGGCACCGTTCGAATGCATGCCATGCGAGCGAACACACATGCACCGTATTCGATGGGGCAGCCTCGGGTGAGCCACGCTGTAAAGCCGAAGGGCTACAGGAGTGGCAGACGCGAGGTGCTTTCTGCTGGCTGGTGGTGGGGTACAACCCTGCGCTAGAGTGCCCTCTTCGTTGTTCGCTGTCTTCCTTCAATCGCAACCATGAGCTTCGGCCGATACTTGTGCGGACATATCGATCACACCATCGAATGGGGGAACGCCTCCCAGGAGTGGGTCGAAGTTGGTGCAACAGGGCGCCCTCATTACTACAACGCCTGCACAGATAGACGCGGGTACATACAATCCTGTCTTCGGTCGGCATGACAGTCGCGGTCACCCCGATGCGGCCCATGCTCGGATCACCTCGAGCACACAACTTCTCAGCGCGAGCGCTAGGACCACGGCTGGAGTCCCACCGGCTTCCGGGCACCCCCGCCTCGCAGACCTCCTCCTCGACCCCCCGACCCTCGAGCGCGGGGCTCGGAGCCCTGCCCCGCTGCAAGGGCTCCTGCGCATCGACGCCGCCCTGAAGGCCCGGGCCGGAGCCGCCGCCGCCCACGGCCCTGCCTGCGCACCCCTCGTTCATCCGTCGAATCCGATGCTCAGCCCCCGCCCTCGAAAATTCAGAGTTAGCTTGCGCCATGAATGTTCAGGCGGCCTCCTGATTCGGAGGCGGCGCGCTTGTGCCTTCATCTGCCCGTGGCCTGCGTTTCTTTCGCAGTTCCCGGGTGGTGTTGCGAGGGTTCCACCAAGTTGGGCGTCTGACGTAATGGCCGCCGTTGCGCGCATTGCTGTTCCAGGGCCACGAGGCAGAGAGGGTGCATGTATTCCCCTGGTGTGTATATATATATATACATATATATACACACACTCACATCTATCACATATCTATGTATAGATGTATAAATGTGCAGATATGTGTACTGCATATTCGATCTTCGGAGACGAATACCTAATGGCCTTCGGCCCATCCCGTCACCATGCCTGGGTTGTGGGTCATAGGCCTGTCGGTCGTTCGTTGGTCTGTTTGCCTCTTGGGACCTTCTTGGGAGGCCTCAAGAAGACCACTTTGGAGCCGCCTGAGGCTTCTTGGGAACCTAGTGGGGGCTTCTTAGGTCCGCGGTCTCGAAATGTCCCGTTGGGAGCCGTTCTGGGGGCCTCTTGGGCCGTCTTGGAGGCCTTCAATCGCGTCTTGAGGCCCTCTTGGGCTGTCTCGGAGCCGTCTTGGGGCCCTTTGGGGGCAATCTTGGCGGCCTCTTGGGCCGTCCTGGAGCGTCTTGGAGCGTCGGGAAGCCGAAAACGCGAGTACCCGAAAACCCTTTGAACACCATTGGAACAGCTATGAATTTTGCCTCTGAGGGACCTCTTGGGTGGCCTCTTGAAGGCCTCTTGGGGCGTCTTGGAAGCCTCTTGGGCCGTCTTGGGGCAATCTTGGGCTGTCTGGAGTCGCTCCTTGACTGTCTTGGGCGCGCTGGGTGGGGAGCTCCGCGAAAGCCTGCGGGTCGTTTGGGGCCGTTGCAGCCGTCCCGGGGGCCATGCGAAACACCCCGGGGAGCGCCAAGAGCGGCGGGTTGCAAAAAAACGAAGGGTTGCAAAAAAACCGAAGGGTTGCAAAAAAACGAAGGGTTGCAAAAAAAACCCTGGGTTGCAAAAAAACGAAGGGTTGCAAAAAAACCCTTCGGAAATTGGCAGTCTGGGCTCTTAAGAACGTGCAGTGCTGGCTGCAGCAGCAGCACAGCTGTGAGAACGACTCGGGCTGCTGCAGCAGCAGCAGCAGCTGTGCGCCGTGGGACACTCCACGTTCAGTGACAAAGGAGTGTAATAATTTGAATCATGTCTTCTCTTTTGACACAGATCTTCCTTTTTCTTAGTTTTCCATATTTGTATCGAGACTACAGTCTTAAACATGGCGCCGCCGTGGGATCCGGTGACCTCGTCGCCGCAGTAGGGCGCACGGCTACAGTGGCGCAGAGCTCAACTGGGGAGGGGGCGAAGACGTAGTCGGTGAGTGAACGGCGCGGAGATAATCGAAAGTTTCACGCACGAGCGCAGCCAGGAGCGAATGCGCGGTCTGCGCAGCGCCATTGCAGGCGTGCCCTACGCGGGGGTGCGGATCGAGACATACTTTTCCAAACGAGCTCCGGATTGCTTGAAAGGGGGGTGGGGCTCTCGATGTCAGTGGTTACCTGCCGCTGGTCCGTCCGGAAGGCATGGAGGAGGCCACGAGCGGCGCAGGCGTCCATATCCACAACCTCGCGGGCTGGATTCCGGGGCGCGATCCCGCGGATACGCCGTCGCATGGACACGTTCCGCGCGGGGGGTCCGCGACAATCCGCCCCTGATCCGCGGGGTCGCGGCCCAGGGGCCCGGCCTGCCAGGCCGCGGATACGAATCTGTTTCTCGCCTGCGAGGAGGTTCGAGGATCGACCCTGATCTTTCACCGAGCACAGGGAAGTGGTACCGATACTGCTACCCTTCCAGCGTTTTCGCCTTTTTGGGCCGCCTGGGAGGCATCCGTCGCCATCGCTGGATTCGCCTCGAAATCTTTGTCAGAATGCACCCAAGGAGAGGTCCACGGAGTGGGGGTACCAGTACCTGATACTTTTCCAAATGCATATGCTCAGGTCGGCTTGTGTGGTCGGCTCTGCACGAATTTGCCTATGGCACGTCGGCTTGTGTGGCGTTCCGGGTTTGTTTGGTGACTCTGATTCGGACCGCGGTCAGACATAACGACGCGTCGAATTCTGGTGGTCGCGCTCCCTCTTTCTCCCGTCCCCCATTTCAACAACTTGCTGTTGCTTGTCCCAACATCAGCCAAGACGGCGCTTCTTTGTTCCAGACAATTGCTCAGTTCTCGGTCTCTGGCACCGCCAGGAGCTTTAGGGTCTATCCAGCGCTCCACCGCTTGACCACCCGCAGACACGCGTGCGGCACCGGTGCAGCCCACAGCCGCCAGGGCACGAGGCGGACCTCCCCTTTCTGCGGTGCGCTCTGCCGCGACGCGCACTCGTTGTACTGAGTCTTCCGAGCGGTGAGCTGTGTCGGGTGGGGTTTCCGTGTCATCCGAGGTGCCCCCCCGCTCATTACCCATCGGTCGTTGAACGTAGGTCTTTTTGGAGTCCCAGATTCCACTCTACTTTTAAGCGCCTTCCTAATTCAATGATCGAGTGGCTGCACCTTTCCTGTCCTCCTTGGGGGGCCGGCGGAAGCCCAGTCTATTCTCACCGCCCGCCTACTTCATCATATTCCTGCCTACTCCTTCTGACCGATCGGCACGTGGCGCAAACACGAGCGGAGCATCGATTGCTGCTCAGCTTCTTTCATTGCTCCCGCGCCGTCGGCAGAGCACCGCTTCCCTGGGGGCGGTCCAGACGTCGGGGGCCCCGTGCTGAAGCAGACCAGCAGACGTCGGCGGCCTGGGGATGTGGCAGGCCTGGGCAGAGAGGAGGCGCTCCAGAGCGTTCCAGGACACCCCAGGGCGCTCCAGAAGGCCCTGGGGCGAGGCGACAGAGGCGTCTAGAGTCTAGAGACGATCCTTCGAAGGAGCTCTGGAAGCTCTGGGAAGGAGCTTCTGGGACAGCTTGACGGCACACGTATTGGGAAGCAGTTGAAAAAAGGCCTCCCAGGACACGCTGCAAGTGCAGGCAACCTGCTGCGAGGTGTCTGGAGCGACGGCGGAACGAGCTCCAGGGCTACCCCTGCCTGCGGGCTTCTGAATGAAACTTGTGAGCCCTCTACGAGCTACCCAGGCATTCCGCCCAGGAGAGATGTTGTCTCCGTTCTCTGGGCGACCCGGGTGTTCGCCAGTCTTGGCCTTGGCCTTCAGAGGATGCTTTGCCCCGGGGCAATCAGAGAACGGCCTGGAGAGGAGGTCTTGAGGTCGGGAGAAATCAAGGAGCTGGATGTCCACGGGAGGGGGATCGGGAGGAAGACAGAGTATCAATGTCACGCTGTCGTCCAGAGCCAGTTAGCGTGTTGTTCCTTCATTGTTGTCCGAAGTTCTGGCACCTCCTCAACAGTGACGCGCTGATCGGTTCCCCAAAGCGTCGTGCCACTGCTATTGTTTTCGTTCATGGAGAGAAGTTCCTCGATCGTCGGGGTTAGACGTGCTGATTGTTGTTTGTTCTTTCCCATGGGCATCTGGAGACCACTGCATGCCTCCAGGGGTCTCCAAAGGCTCCAGGGACCTCCGCGGAGACTTCCAGAAGGGGTGGTCAAGGGCTGGCCAGGGGGAAGGGGAACGGGAGGGGGCTGGAGAAGGAGGCGGGAAGGGAGCAGGAGGAGGGAGATGAAGAGAAATGGGAGGAGGATGCTGGAGGGTGATTGGGAGGAGGACGAAGAGGAGGAGGAGGAAGAGGAGGACATGGAGGAGGAGGAGGAGGAGGAGGAGGAGGCGAAGGAGGAGGAGGAGGGGAGGAGGAGGAGGAGGAGGAGGAGGAGGGGTGGAGGAGGAGGAGGAGGAGGAGGAGGACGAAGAGGAGGAGGAGGAGGAGGAGGAGGAGGAAGAGGTGGAGGAGGAGGAAGAGGAGGAGGAGGAGGAGGAGAGAGGAGGAGGAGGAGGAGGAGGAGGAGGAGGAGGAGGAGGAGGAGGAGGAGGAGGAGGAGGAGGAGGAGGAGGAGGAGGAGGAGGAGAGGAGGGAGGAGGAGGAGGAGGAGGAGGCAGAGGGAGGAGGAGGAGAAGGAGAGGAAGAGGAGAAAGAGAAACCAGAGGAGCAAGAGGAGGATGGGGCGGAGGAGGACGAGGAGGAGGAGGATAAGCAAGATGAGGAGGAGGACGAGGGGGAGTAGGACGAGGGGCAGAAGCAGGAGCAGGCAACCGAGGATGAGCACGGAGTGACAGTCCAGCAGACGGAAGCGGGCGAGGCCCAGACCCCGTGACGATCTGGGCTGGGCTTACACGTCCGACCCTCGGACGGCGCGGCGAGTAATGCTCGCTGGCAGAGACGACAGGCTCATACGTTTGGAACTTCGAGTCGGGCCTAGGTAGAGGGTCTGCGGTTGATGGGGGCTTGGTGGTTGGACCGTGAGATTTCGGAGTTCCCCCCTTGCGTCCAACGTATGACATACGTTGGACGCAAGTGATTCGCAACATAGGGGCAAATCATCTTGCGCCTTCCAAAGACCTTGATCCTCGAAACTTGCTGCCCGAACATCGAGCCAATGACCCCTGACCTCTCTGCGGGTGCGCTCTGGCCAGCATCGCCAGGAGTGTTCAGCTGCGGCGACGAGAAGCCTCCAGGATGCCTGGATGCCCAAGAGAGGCCCAAGCAACAACAACAAGCAAACTCGATCCTCGAACCTCCATTCGTAATGCCTGAGACCTGCGCTTCCTCGTCATTGGCCGGTGCCCGCCGACCCAGCCGGGGCAGGTGAAATGGAGGAGACGAGAGGCTGAGTGGGAGGAGGGAGGAACGGCTGAGAGAGAGAGACCGAGAGGACGGTGCTGCAGCGGCCGAGAGGGAGGCCCAGGGCCTCGCAGATCCCCCCCCCGACCCGCGATGCTCCGACGCCTGCCCGTCCCGGGCCGCCCCCCGCTCCCGGGCTGCCCCGGCGGCGCGCCGAGAGCGGGCCCGCTCCGAGGCCGTGCTCCCGGCGCGCCGCGGCGGGCCCGCGGCCGCGCCCGCGGCCGCGGCCGCGCCCGCGCCCGCGCCCGCGCCCGCGGGCGCGGCGCGGCGGGGCGGGAGCCGCGCGCGCGGGGCGGCGGCAGGCGGAGGCCGCCCCTCGCCGCCCGATCGGCGGGGCCGGAGTCTCAGGAGGGAGGCATCGATCACAGACAGATCGGGGGCGGCAGAGAGGGGGGTGATGACGAGGGGGGTCACCACCCACCAAACCACCCCAACCCAACCCGAAGGCTCGAATTTACAGTCGATTTCCAGTGGGGGGGGGGTCGGGCAACATCGAAAAAACGCGCGTGGAACCCTTACCCCCCCAACCCGAAATTCGGGTCTTCGGGTTGGGTTGGGGTGGTCTGGTAGGCAGTCAGGGGGGGGACGTCATGGCGTGGGCCATGGCATCTCCGCAGATGTCGTGGCGGCTCTTCTTCTTTCACTGCGTGGCTGGACCCCCCCCCTGGGCCGCGCACGTGCCGCCAGCCAGGATTTGCGCCCCCCCCTCTTTGACGCCCCCCCTCTTGGCCGCCCCCGAATAATATGTCATAAGCAAACGTAGACGTTGTCCTCTCTATGAACAGCTGAGGAGGGACTTCATCCACAACCACCGCCTGGGGGGGTCGATCTTCGCGGACCTCCACAGGCGGTGGATATGGATACATTTTCGGGCTCCCAGGGGCCAACGTATGTCCATATCCGCCGCCCGCCGGGGCACCAGGCCGTCCGTTCCCAGGCGGTGGATATGGACCCCCCCTCGCCTCGCAGACATGAGGAGGGACACCCCTGACACATCGGGGAGTGCTCTCGGGAAAGCCTGGCGTTTGTGTCGATGTAGCTGTGTCTCCCTGCTGTGTGGCCCGAGGTCGTTTTTTTTTGTTTCTCCTGACCCATGGGATCGGGGCTTACCAGCCTCGAACGTATCCTTATCCGTAAGATTGACACGCCAAAAGGCGATGACGATCTTAGGGAGTCGCCCTCAAAAAATAAGGGGATCCCTAAGATTGGCATCGTGATGAGGAGGTGCCCAGCATAGGGATAGGGATATGTTCCAGGCTGGTAAGGGGCGTCCTGCGTGCTCTGCACGACGGGCGTCTCCGCGGGGCTTTGGGATCACCCGGGGGCCATGGCAGATCGATCCGGCTCGAAGAAGGCAGCAGAGCAGTGCGGTCCAGCCGGACGGGCGAGGACGAGCACTCTCAGAGCGTTCTCTCGCCATCGCTCGGACGTGTGCATATTTCCTTTGGTGGGGACCATCGAGGAGCATCCTTGATCATTTGGCGAAAAAACCACGCACGAAACTGGAAAAACCACAGGAAATGGACGTCCGAGCGATGGCCAGTTCTGGAACGCTCTGAGAAGGCCTCGGCGCCCGAGACATCTTCCAGAGCCCCCAGATCTCAGAGATTCTGCATGTGCGTGGCCTCCGTGGGCTTCCGTGCGTGGCCTGTGACGATGCTGCATTTTTTCCGCGTCGTCGGATCTCAGGGACGGCCTCCCTGGCCCCATCGGCGTTCCCAGGATGGTCCAGGGATGCCCCCACGGCCCGGGTGCCTCGCAAAAGGCCCAGAGGGCTCCAAAGTTTTCGAAACGAGCAAACAGCTGGGGCTCAGAGTAGGAAAAGGTACCCATACCCATACCTCTACCCTTTCCTCGTTTTCCCCTTCTTGGGCCTCCTGGGAGGCCCTCGTCGGCACCGCTGGACTCGCCTCGAAATCTCTGTCAGAACGCACCTTAGGAGAGGTCTGGGGAGTAGCAGTATCGGTGCTTTGTGGTTTCACATGACAGTCTGGGGACACCTTGTGCCAGGAACCCTTGTTTTGGTTTCCCGCGACAAACGGCTTCCAGGCGGTCCAAGAGACCACCGAGATGCCAAGAGGGCTCTAATATGACCTCCCAACGGGATCAGTTTGTTGCATGGCTTTTGTTCTCGCCCGCTCGGCTTCAGAGGCTCCCCAAATTGCGTAAGGGTTCTGTCCGTGTTCGGCGGTCCCTTGAGGGGTCGTCAGGGAACCGTTCGGGATGAAAAACGTGTACAGGGGAAGGGGTCGAGACCTACAGGGGCCCAGTTTGCGAACACAGAGACGAAAGTTCTGGTGCGTTGTTTGTTATCTGTTGGCCTCCTGACAGCTCCTCATCACCACGGCTGGATTCGACTCCAAAGTCTGGGGGGCAAGTATTCGCCGAGGAGGACGAGGAGGATAGGGAGGAGGAGGGTTGAGGTGGAGAAGGAGAAGGAGGAGGAGGAGGAGGAGGAGGAGGAGGAGGAGGAGGAGTAAAGGGAAGGGGGAGTTGAAGGATGGGAATGAGGAAGATGAGGGAGGAGGGGTGGGAGGAGGAGGAGGGGGAGGAGGAGGAGG